GGCGATGTTCAAGTTAGAGTACAGGTGTTTGAGAGCCAATTTCGAATGCTGTTGCAACAAGAAGATTGCCTGAATGCAATAGTATCAGAAGAGACAATCAGGGTGGGGAAGTCGGATGCAGACATTCCCAAACTGAAGGAGGAGTATGGTAGGAAGGCCGTAGAGAAGGCCACAAAGGCCTGGCAGTTAATACTGGCAAAGATTCAAGTTGCATCGATCGTACCAGCAATCATCTCTAGTGGTTGCCCAACGGAGTCATGGCGAATATTTCGAAATCATTTTCAAGTGCATGCCCACACAGAAAAGACGAGCCTCCAGCTAGAGTGGCAGGAGTTGACGCAAGGGGTTCAACAACACCCGAAAGAGTACCTGTCTAGAGGGTGGGTGCTGAGGCAAAGGCTATCATCTTGCGGAGTGACAATTACAGAGGATGATGCTAACAGACATCTTGTGCGCAACCTCCTCCCCGAATATGATGTCTACACAGGTTTTCTGATGTCCGAGAGCGGTCTAGAGAAGGAGAGAGTAGAACGGATTATAGTGAATGCTTGGGCGGAGATGGAGGCGCGAAGGAAGAAGAAGCAGGAGAGCGTGGGGGCTTATGCCCTCGTCACTGGCGGTGAGAACCGTAGTGGCGGGGGAGGGAACACGGGGGGACCGGGGAAGACGAGAGGACAACGGAGGACGGCAGCGCGGGAACAGAAGCAACAACCGCAGCAGCCACAGCATCATCATCAGCCGCACTTCAACCAGCAGCAACAGGTATACCTGCCGTTGTACCCGCCTGAAATAAAATATTGCGACCTCCACAACTCCCCGTCCCACAGCAACGAGGAATGTCGCTTGCAGCGGGGTTGGGGAGGTCCCTCGGGCGGCCAAGGTGCGAGCTACGGCGGAAGGCACGGGCCCCAGCATGGGGGCCGGGGCTTTTCTGGAGGAGGACGTCATCAGCAGCAGCCGGCAGGAGGAAGATTCGGGGGACGTGGCGCCGCTTCCGGTGGGAGGGGCAGGGGCCCTTTTCACCAGGGACCGCCGGGCAGCAACCTCCCCGCCTACCCTGTACCTCAGCAAGGCTACGACTACAGCACCTACCCCCCCAACATGTACCGCCCACAGGGAAATGAACCTCCCATCCACCCGAATGACCCTCGCAAGCGGTGTGAGAACTGCGGTGAACTCGGCCACAACCACCTGTTCTGCCCTTCGCGTGTTGATGTCGGAAGGCCAGCTGGCATGCCGGCAGGCAACGCGCCGCCCAGGCACCCGCCGCCCCGGCCGCCGGCCGGTGGTTACAGCCAGCGGCCGCCTTGGGCACACTCGTATGGGCAGGCAAATACGGCGCAGCAATACGGCGGAGAGGGTTACCCGGGGGTAGCGCCAGGAGCAGCAGGAGCGACGGCGGTGGCGACGACAGCTCCATCTACAGGGGCGCATGCGGTGACGCACGTGAGCGGCGTTTACCAAAATCCGGTGACGCACGCGAGCGGCGTTTACCATTACTCGCCCCAACAGCAGCAGCCGGAGTACCTTCCCCCCCCCGTGCAACAGCAGCAGCCCATCTCCAACCCGTACGCTCCTCCGGCGCCTTCGACCGGAGCGTCTCCATCGACTGGTGGGGATTTACATGCGTGTGTGGTGTGGGCTTTTCCAAGTGAGTCTGAAAATGGTGTGCTAGTAGAGCGAAGGGACGACGGATATGCAATGATGAACGTCCTTGATGAGAGTGTAGGAGACGAAACTTGGCTTGCAGACTCAGGCGCCACGAATCACACCACCGGTGACCCGAGGTGCATGTACGATGTGATGATTCCTCCGCCTGGTAGAGAGCGAGTAGTGATTGGCGATGGTAGGACGATGCCTGTGCTTGGTATCGGCAGCCTGAACGTCAAGTTCCACAATGGTGGAAACGATTTTTGCGTGAAGCTCACCAACGTGTATCACGTTGAGGGAATGGGTTACAATTTGTTTTCGCTTCACAAGGCCATGGGAGGGCAACGCATTGAAATGGATCCTATAGGTATCCACCTGTTTGACGGTGGATTAACTTTTCCCCGTGGCGAGCGTGGTTCTTCCTTGAGAGCGACTCGTTTACCGCCCGATTACACGACGCCACTTGCTGCGCCCGTGGTGACACCGTTACCTCCGCCTCCCCCTCGCTCTGCAGACGTTGTGAGTGTGACTGGTGTTGCAACGATGCATGCAATCCCCCGCATGCAGCATTCTCCCCAAGGTGTAGCGTACATGCCCTCTTCCTCGTTTTCTCGTTTCCCGCCCACTGTCGCCAGCGCCGGCAGTGTAGTACCTCCAACGGTGTCTAGGTTCCCGCCCACTGTCAGCAGTGTCGTGCTTCCATCCGCTCCGACGAGCGTTGTGCCGACCCCCGTCTCTGGTTTCCCGCCCGCTCCCAACAGCGTAGTACATTCTGGTGACACCGCCCACAGATATGCCCCCGTGTCGAATTTTCCGCCCGCTGCAGCCGGCATAGTACCTTCCACGGTGTATGGTTTCCCGCCCGCTGCAAACAGCGTAGTGCCATCGTCTGTGATCAATATCCCGCCCGCTGCGAGCAGCGTCGTTCTTTCGACAGTGTATGCCCCCTCCCCCGCTGACAGGAGTGTGGTTTTTCCCTCCGCTCCTCAAGTGCCGCATGGTATGGAGTTGGTAGCTGTTCCCGGGTTGCCATCGCCGGACGTCACCGTTTTTCAAAAGAATAGTGAGGATGATGACCGTGGGTTTATTCCGTTCACAGAGCAGGGAGATTACGAGTGGGCTTTGTACCTCTTAGAACAAAGACAAGAATCGGATGACCCCTACGAGTGTTTAGACTTGATGTTTGAGTCTGGATTTTCCAATGTCTTCGATGATGTTGCTTTCGCCGTTCCCGTTATGGCCCCGGGCAAGCGCCCTTTTTCGGTGGGGAAACCCACCAAGATTATTGACGTTAACCTTCTCCATGTTTCGTCCTCCCACGCCAATGAGTTTCTTTTGCGTGAGCTTGCGAAGCAGCACGGTCTCCGACTGACCGGTGTCCTGCAGTCCTGTGGTGGATGCCTGCAGGGGAAGGGGAAGAAGGCGGGCGTGCCTCACCAATTGGGCACGCGCGCGGAGCGGCCGCACGATCTTTGGCACATCGATATGTGTGGGCCGATGACGGCCTCGCTGGGGGGTTCGTTTTTCATGATTATGTTCGTGGACAGCTTCTCGCGGTGGATGAAGCTGTACGGGATGAGGCGCAAGTCGGACACCCTCGCCTTCGTCAAGAAGTTCCTCGCCGACATGAGTGGCACCGGTGTCCCTCGCTCTTTCCGGATGGACAACGGGGGGGAGTTCATCGGACGCGACTTCATCGCCTTCTGTGACAACGCCGGCATCCGCCGTACGTACACGGCGCCGGACACCCCGCAGAGAAATGGTCCGGCGGAGAGTGCGATCTGGCGCGTGAACAAGGCCGGCCACGCCGCTCGTCTCGA